CCCCCCCCCCAGGTGGGAGCCACCGAGGCAGTGGGCAGAACAAACTAGGTGCTCACAGGTGCCCTCTGGTGGCTTTGGGGAGAATAGACCATGGAGGCCAGGGCAGAGCTGGATGCAGGGACTCTGCCAGTGCAGGTGGATGAGAAATGTGAAGAAGGCAGGGAATAAAGGGCCCCAAGGTCGGCCCCTCCTGGCCAGATGGTCCTTGGGCTCTGGGTTTTCTTGCTGCCTCCCCAGGTCCTTGCCAAAGGGGCCCTCCACGAGCAGTTCACTCAGGCTGTTTGCTGCTCCCCAGGCCATTACAAAAGGCTTCCTGGTTAGGTCAGACCCACCAGTTATAATCTCCCTTGGGATCAACTCAGAGTCCACTGATTTGGGAACATTAATTACATCTGAAAAAGCCCTCTCCACCTTTTACCAAATAACGTGCTACACACACTCAAGAGGGTTACACAGGGTATGTACATGGGGGCAAGAATCTTGGGGCCACCTCAGAATCTGGCTATTTGGGGAGGACCTAAAGTGGGGTCTGGGGCATGGGCTCTGGTAGAATGAATTGGGTTCAAACCTCATCCCCAGCTTCTATGCATTGGGTTGTCTTAAGTTAACCAGTCATTTTTCCTTCTCGAGCCTCAGTTTTCCTATCAGTAAAGGGGAGATGACCCCTTGGCCTCCAGAACTGACGGACCAAGGAAATGAGGTAACTGAGAATTACTTGCCCTTGAGGTCTCAAACTGGAGGCATTCAGAACACAGACTTCTCTTACTTGACCATCAGTGTTTTACTTTCTTTTTTCTCTTTTAAAGAATTTGCCAACAGCCCTGACTGATGTGGCTCAGTGGCTGGAGCATCAGTCTGAGCGCTGAAGGGTCATAGGTTCAATTCCAGGTCAAGGGCACCTACCTGGGTTGCAGGTTTGACCCTGGCCCTGGTCAGGGTACATGGAAGGCAACCAACCAATGTGTCTTTCTCACATTGATGTTTCTCTCTCTCCCCCTTCCCTCCCTCCTTTCCACTCTCTCTAAAAATCAATGGAAAAAATATCCTTGTGTAAAAATTAACAAAAAAACAAACAAACAAAACAAAATAATTTGCCAACAGTTAAAGAGCAGGACATTTAAAAAATCTGAATT